TAACTATAAAAACGTAGAGAAATTCAATAAAATTAAATATGTCCAATAACTACTTTTTTGAACTAATTGAAAAAGCGTATTATGGTAATGAATGTAAAAAATATATATTTGTGAAGCCATATAAACTTAGAAACTGTCTTAATATTGTTATAATATTTAATTAATTGAAAAATATCCAAATAAACATTTTAGAATAATATTTAAAATTACAAAATGTCCAGCAGAATAGATTGAAGACTTGCTAATTCCTATGCATATATTAACCTGGATTGAAGAACAGTTAACTTGGGCTCGTTTCTATGTCCCATCTCTAATGCCCAACAACCAGAATCAGAAGCCCATTAATTCATTGATTGCTCTTCTGCAAACTTATTTAGAAATAAATTTATATATATATATATATATATATATATATATATATATATATATATATATATATATATATATATATATATCCCTATTCTAATAAAACAATAGTTTTAATCTCATATTGACAAGTGTCATACAATTAGAACACCTTATTAATGTTATATATTCATTATCATGCTATTTGTCAACCTATTAATTATTCATTTCAAATTTTAAATTTAAAATTTTTTCACTCTAATTACATTAAACTAATAATTGATTCTTTTATTTAAATTTAAAATTTTAAAACTTTCCACTCTAATTATATTAAATTAATAATATTAGATTGAAAAATAAAATAAAATTAATACATATTATAACATGATATAACTTCATGTATTTATTTAAATCAACGATTATAATTTTATATAACTAAAAAAATTTCTCTTAAATAATAATTTATTTAAAATAATTAATTAATAATTTGGACTTTTTATATAAAAGTTTAATTGATTTTATAACCGTGGTTCTCACGGGTTATAAACTAGTATATATATATATATATATATATATATATATATATATATATATATATATATATATATATATATATGAGCGTAGGCGTGGGCAAAAAAACCGTTTCAAGAACCGAACCGGTAGCTGAACCAAAAACCGGTTTAGCCCTGAACCGGTTCACATTTGAACCGAACCGCCAGATTAAACCAATTTGATGTTTCAACCTTTAAGACTGGTTTGGAACCGGATTTGTCTAAACTGGTTTTGAACCGGTTTTCGATATTACCGTTGGTGAACCGTCTGTGAACCGGTTTTGAACTGGTTTTTGAATTCTGCCCGTTTTTTTGTTTCTTTCTAACGGCTTTATAGCCATTTGAGGTTTTGAAAGACCCATTTTGGCTCCTTTTTTACCATATTATCCATTCCTTTTAGTATATATTTGTATTAGATGATTAGCTCTCAACTTTACCTTAACCAAACCTCAAAAAACCTCTCTTAGTTCAAAAAACTCTCTTAATTCAAACAATGGATTCGGCTTCCATTGGTGTTGGAGATTCATCAAACAATCTTACCGTTGTTAGCATTAAAGAAACAAATAGAAATCCGACTATTTGGTGCAACTATGACTTGTGTGTAATGTCGAACGATATAAAAAAAGCGCGATACAAGTAATGTGGTGCTTTTTTTTAATGAAGATGAGAATTCGACATTGAAAACTCATATGACCAAAAGATGCCCCGCGATGAAATTTTGGTCGGGACATAATCAAACACAATGGCGAATGATGCAACATTGTGGAGCTACGAAATAGCTAAAGTTCAGGATAGGATGGCGAAGTTCGTGATTCAAGAATGCTTGCCTTTTGACCACTTCGACAATAAGCGATTGACTTCACTCATCCAAGACACTCTCCAACCACGATATTGCCATGTGAGTCGTACTTCTATTATACGTGATTGTATTGTAATGTGGAAACTTGCAAAAAATGAATTGATTTTAGAATTTCAATCTTTAGAAACTGGTGTGAATTTAACTTGTGATGTTTGGACGGCTCCTCACGGTTCACCGGATGCGTACCTTTGTGTTACCGCTCATTGGATTAATCCAACTAATTGGGTAATGATGAAGCGTACGATTACGTTTGAATTGTTTGAGTACCCGCACACCGGTAGAAATTTATTTAAAATTTTAGATTGTGTGATCAAAACTTATAAACTTGAAGGAAAGATATTTTCTATATCTTTTGATAATGCTTCAAACAACACCGTCGCGGTTGGACAACTAAAACTAAAATATAAACCAATTTGCGATGGTGTTTTTTTCATAGTCGATGTGTTGCACATATCATTAATTCGGTTGTGCAAGATGGACTAACTAGCATTGAAACGATAAAAGATGGTTTCAAAGACATGCTAAAGATATTTTTAGTTCTAGTAACGCTCGATATCATAATTATATGCAATTTTGTGTCAATGTGAATGCACTCTTTTTAGGTCCGAATTAGGAAAAAAAATACCCGATGGAACTCCACTTGCAAAATGTTTGAATGTACCTTACGTCAAATATATACTTTAAAAATGTTTCATGACAACCTTGCGGACCGTAATAAGGTTACGACTTATCCGGAATCAAGTTGGGATACTATCAAACTTGTTACGGACATGCTTGATGTTTTTAAAAAAGCAACTACTTTTTTATCGGGGGTTTATTATCCTACAAGTTGTTTAGTTTTAAACCAAATTTTTTTAATGTGTGCAAAAATAAATGAGTTTGAAATGAGGAGCACAATGTTTGCTAATATGATGAAACCAATGAAAGCAAAGTTAAAAAAATATTTTCAAGAAATGTCACCCATTATTACCTGTTCAGCCGCTTTGAAATCCGACTCTAAATGTTGGGGGGGGGGGGGGGGGGGGGTTGAGACTTTAATTGAAAATATTTGTTACGATTTGGGTTTATTGGATGATGACATGGATTATGTATCAAAGGAAGTTTCAAAATTTAACAAAGTTTTTCAAAATTTGTTTGAAGTTTATTTAACAAAATATAGTTCAACAAACATTCATGACATGATGCAAAATACGGGGACATCCAGATCCACTTCTCACCAAAATAACAAAACAATTAGACTTTATAATACTTTGAGGAATGAAAATTCCAAACGAGCTTGGTCTAACACCCCTAGTAGCGAGCTCGAAAGGTACATTGGTTCCGATTTCTTGTCTCAAATGAGTATTCAAGAGTTTGAAAATTTTGATATTTTGGCTTGGTGGAAAGGAAAGGAAACCCAATTTCCAATTCTAGCTGCTATGGCTCGTGATCTACTAAGCTCCCACGCTTCTACGGTAGCTTTGGAATCGGCTTTTTTTGTTAGTGGCAGGGTAATATCACCAAGAAGAACAAAACTAACCCCTTTGTCGGTGGAAGTGTGCATTTGCTTGAAATGCTACCTTGATGGCGTGGAACAGATATAAGACATTGAAGTACTAGAAGGCACATCGCTGCATGCTGAAGCACGAGTACATGAGGAAGAAGTAGCAATGGGAATGTCGGTGCCACTCACCCTAAAAGAGATCGAGTATGAAAGAAGATTACGCAACAACATGGCGGATGACGAATAAATACAATGACTACGGACTTGGATTGAAGACTACGATGACAACAATGTTTTGTATTTGAAGATGTATTAGTTTGACAATTTGGATGTTTTGTGTTTTTACGTTTGAAGTTGTATTATGTATTTCCAATATAAAAAAAAAACAAAAAAAAATGAAAAAAAAAAAGGTTGAAAATTGCTCCAAAAAATATGTTGATTCAAGTTGAACAATTTTGTATATACATTATGTTTTTATACATATACACAAAAATCAAATCTAAAACCAAAAAAAAAAAAATAATACATCAAAAGATATGTATATTATTAAGAAAGAAAAAAAAAATGAAAAAAAAAACTTTTGGTATATATATGGACTTGTATTGTGTATATGTGTGCATTACCAAAAGGCTTATGCTTTCCCATTGGTTCCACACCCAAAAAACCTATTGTGAATCCTATTTTTTTTTATGGTTAAACACAATCAAAAGCAATAGAATCTAAACAAAAAAAAAACTCATTCTTATTTTACACTTATTAGCCCAAAAAAAAAAACAAAAACAAAACAAAACAAAACAAAACAAAAAAAATTGAAAAAAACCTTTTTTGCATCGACGGTTTTGAACCGGTTTTTTCTGAACCGGTGTCTTTAGAACCGAACCGGTTTACAAATGTTCAGATTTTTTGGGGGCTGGACCGATTTGGAACCGAACCGATTTCAGGGTGCACCGGTTTTGATTAAGTTGACCAGAACTGAACCGGTTTTCTGAACCGATCGGGTTCAGAAAACAAAAACCGGTTTGTGCATGCCTAGATGAGCGTTCTAAAAAATAATAAAATATATGTTTTAATTATTTAATAAACATTAGTGATATATGACTTTAATTAAAAAGATAACGAAAATGTAATACAACTTATACATATTATACTATAGATTAAAATTCTCTTTGCTTAGCTACAGTAAAGTTGCAAAGGTTTTGGCAGATTTGGTCCTCAGTCTATGTCTGTTTCTAAAATGTTGGTCTGTTTCTTTTAGAGGGTATATTTTGTAATTTTCTATATTGTTTTTCCACGTGTTGATTTCTCTTTCTTTCACCGTTTTTATCGACCAATAAGGACTTGATTTCTATTACTATATTTCGTTATCCGTTTTCTTTTCTCTTTCTTTCACTGATCCTCCTCCATTTGTTTCTTTCGCTTTCTTCTCTTAATAACCGACTCAAACAGACCGATCATCTTCTCACATTCGCTTCATTGACTTCTTCTTCCAATCAACCTTTTCCAACATCTCCACAATATCTCTTCCGCTGCACCGCCTGTATACCAGCACCGTCTACTAAACCATGGTCACCGCCCCACCTCATCTGATATAACCCACCGCCTCATCTTGATCCTTCCACCGCCTTAATCAGTTTTAATCTACAACTTCCCCAAATTCCCTCGATCCTTCCTCTAATCGGTCAGTGCGTCTGTTCTTTTTGTTCCAGATCCATCCACCACTTAATATATGACGATTCTTCTCTACTTTTCTTCTTCGTCTCAAGCTTCATAGATTCGGGGTTGCCAAGGTTCTGATTCACGCATTCTACATCTCTCTGTGTTTTCCACACGGAATCGGTCTGCCACATGTGAGCCCTCCAAAATCAACAACATCCTTGGACATTTAACCCAACCATTTAGGTTTCACCATCACTACTGTCCAACGTTTAAAATCCTTCGTAGGAGGGAGAACGAGGCAAAGAGGTCAAAGTCGGATGGAATCCACAGTCAACCGTTGTTTATATCCTGTGTTTTCTTACATATTCCAGATTTCCCACTTTTCGATGGGTTTCACTGCAATTGTTCTTCTATTGTTGTTATCGGATTTGATAGCCCTAATAATCACTTTTTATCTCTGTTCGACAGGTAATTTATGTTTACAGTTAAAATTAACTCCGGCCTGCTTCTAATTCCATCTCTACTCCAGTTTCCGTCGATTGGAGATGGATGATTACACATTCTGGTATCGATTTTGTTTACCAGAGTATATTTTTGTCTGGTTCAGTTTTTTCTTTTCCTTTCGGGTTGGGTTTGCATGAAATTAAATTAAAAATAATTGGAAGTAATAGGCTGTGGTTTTGCAGGCGGTATCTGTTAAGCGAGGTGTTGGTATCGGGCCCCAATTTGTCACCTCCATCCTGTCATCTCCGGTGAATTCAACAACTCCCTGCCCGCTGTCTATCATCATCTTCGCACGTCTACAGCTATTGCATTGAAATTCTGCACTAGAAGCCATCAATTTTGTTCTTTTTGTATCCTTCAGGGCAGGTAAGTCGAACCCACAACTGTTGAATAGTTTGTAAACAAACGAACGTTAGTTTTTATTTGTATTTGGAGTCGACTCCAACTATGTTCCCTATGATTTTAGTTTTGGGATTATTCGATGAAATTAACAAGCTCATGAAAGTTCCACAACATCTGCTCAATTTTAAAGCTATATGTGATATACATAATTGGTTGTAAGGAAAGAAGGAGAATCGACTGTGTTGATGTTGTTAATCGACAGGGTTGGTGGGCTGGAGTAGCCATGGTGCTGCAACATTACATCTATAAACCCTAAAGCTTTTTATTTTCTACCATATAACAATTTTAAAGGTAAACCTTTCAGTCTTATGTATGCATATAATTATTATGGCCAATTGCATCTGAATATACTTAATAAGTGAATAGAGTTAAGTGTGAAACCATTACCTGTGTCATGATTATGGGCTTAATTTGTTTCATTCCTTCATGTAGAGGTACCCAAAGTGAGAAAATACAATTGTTCTACCTCCTTCAAGTCAAAGTTCATGATCTTTTATGCTATTACTGCAACATTATGTTTAAAGCTAAGGCTATACATTAGGAAACAAATGATAAACACCATGAATGTCCCTGCAAATAACTCAAATCATACGGTAACTGTTAATGAATTACATATTCAAATTGGGAATTTACATGTGACTTTATACCAAAATGCGACACCATAATAGTGAACACACTCTTAATATAGTTTACTTGAAACGTTGAATGCACATGTATTACAGGTTCTTTTGAATTCCATTGTTTCCCATCATGAATAAATAACTTACTTATTGATACTTACAAATTAATAAGAAATAGCTGTTCAATAACTAATTTCTATGTTGAATACCTAACTGTTCTTAATTATAGCTGATATTCACAATTGGAGGATTCATTTTTTAGACTAACATGTGAGATACATGAGTTTTTTTTTTTTTTTTTTTTTTGCTTCTCAATGGACATAAATGGAACATTTCGTTGATATATCATTTGATATTGCAGGTTTTGGGTTCAAAGTTTTTTTAGGAGTGGATCTAATATATTTGTTATGTATCTCATCTCTGTTACAGACATATCTAATTAATCTTTATCTGTCAAAAAAGTATGTTTTTTTAATTCTTTTCCTCCATTTTTTGCTTTCTACTTCTTGAAAAAAAAACAAATCATTATTAAAGTATGTATTAACTATTATCAATTGTCTTTTAAATATTATGTTTTTATTTCATGTTATTTATGCGCTTCAAGTCAAAATGTCTGTTCAAAACAAGCTCCAAGTTGTTACTCATCGTTTTTTTGTTAATTTTTCCGTTTGCTGTGCAAGTTCTATATTTGGTCTCTTCTACCTTTATTGATGGTTAAAATTTCATGGTTACTAATCGTATCATAATGTTTAAAACTTGGTGATTGTTTAACTATTTTCAGGTTGGGAAAACTTTAAGTGAAGGGAGATGTAATGGTGCATTTGATAAAGATAGTCATTATATTTTTCGTTAAAATTTGAGGTATTATTACAACAAAAATATACTTTTCTTCATTGCTAATATTGAAACATATATAAATTGAAGTCATTTTTTAGTAGTTGTTGTGAATGAAGCTTGCAATGAGTGGTACCTTGCTACTAAATATACATTTATTAACATTATTGTGGCTTATGTGTTGGTTAATATATCCTATATTTCTCTTACTAATTTTAACTAATTTAAAGGCTTCTATACTAAAAAAAATGAATGAACTGCAAGAGCAATTGGATGTGCACATACTACGGGAGGTATGAAATTCACATTTCTCTTAGTTATTTTATGCAATTTCTTTAGTGAATTGATTCGATCATTCATCGCTATGAAGTTCAGATTTCATGTTGATTTTGGAGAGATAACTTTTCACAATCACAAAAAAAAAAAAAAAAAAAAAAAAAAAAAAAACTAATGGCATCATAAAGAACGCTATAATTATAAAAAAAAATGCTACATATGTTTAATTACCATCTAAAAGAACATGTGTCTATTCTTCAGTCAAAGATTTAAAGCCTTGACGATTTTATAGCTACCCAATTATCATCTGAAAAATCAAAGTCAAAGGTTTGTATCATTTTTTTATAACTCAACATATTGTACTATAATTTATAGATTTTTTAGGTGATGATCGATTTTTGTTTTGTGGTTTAGCATGTCATTATAGAAGATGAGAAGATGAAGACACAACTGGAATCTGCAAGCGGTCTGATTGAGAAAGTGGTTTTTGAAAATGGTGAACCGAAAAACTTGAATGGTGAAGTAACCACAAATGATGATCCAATGGTGACAAATTCTGAAGCCGATGATGAAACCATCTGAAAAATTGTTGCACTTTTTAAGTGCATCAGGTACATAATTAGTTTTTAATATAAATAAACAGAAGGTTAAAATGGTCATTTACTACTTTTTCTTTTCTATAAAGTGCAAAACATTGCATCTGAAAGAGAACTTATATTCGTTTTGCTCGATCTAGATGTAATAGTGGATTTCGAATGCTCCAACAACGAAGCACATAATTTCCAATAATTTTCATAGCATAATTGCTGGTAAGAAAATAATGTTATTCAACTCAATTTGTTTTTATATTGTTGTATTAAATTCATTTTAATGTATATTTTTTTCCAGCTTTGAACCTACCTTCTAGATTAATTGATCAAAACAAAGAAAGCTATAATGTTTTCTGTGGATTAAGAAATGGAGGTGCTAAGACTATTAAGACTCGCCAAAAATTTGAGGATGATGAGGGTATATTTGTCTTTTTTTCCATTGGTGACTGTATCCATCTTATTCTGTCATGTACTCTTTTTGAATGCAATATTTGACACCTTCTACAGAAATATGTAAAAGCATGTCAATTGTAATATTAAAATCATCGAAAACAATAAACAAATACCTCAACTCATGTCTATTATACCAATGCTTCCACATGTTTCCAGTTTCGCCTTTTTTGCACACATTTAAGGTAGCGAAATATTTTTTATCGTATACTTAATCAATAACATGTTTTACAATCGAAATAAACCTACCCCACAACAGTGTTCAAAGTATAAACAAATAGTTCATGAAAGAATATTTACATATTACTTCTATTTATCATCATAAGCACTCCCTATTATGTTAAAAAACTACCCCATAACAGTGTTCAAAATATAAACAAATAGTTCATTATAGAGTATTTACAAAGAATAAACCCAAAAAACTGTTACATCCGACCCCGCAACGCGGGGTTACTTACCTAGTTTAATATCATTATTGTATATATTATAACATATAAATTATTTTAAATAATATTAACGTTTAAAAACATTATTGATAAATCTTTATCAAATTAACTTAATAAAAGATAATTATTTATTTCCGTTTATATTTTTAATTAATGTTTTATTATTATTTTTTTTTTTTTGTAAAATGGAGATAAACATATACGTTTGTAATATTTTTTTTACTAAAAACATAAAAAAATATATCAACATTAAAAAAATTTACATTAATTTATTGTTTATTTAATTAATAAAAATTTTAGAATAAACATAAAACTGCAAAAATATTCTCATGACATGCAATTTTTCTGAATTTTCGAATAAACATCGATTTATTGGTTTTGTGGTCCTTCTAATCATATTTCTATGGGGAAATGGTCCATTCGAAAATTAAATTGATTCTTATACCCTTTTATTTTTATGTTTATATTTTTTTTAATATTTTAATGACCAGAACAATAGAATGGGCCTACACATATACATATCTCTCTCTCTCTCTCCCCTCGGAGGTATGCGTCGTCGCAATTGATCATAGTCGTCCATAAAGGCTTCGCTGCAAATGGTTTTTTTTTATTTTTTTTGAGAAAAAATATATTTTTTTTAATATTAATATATATATATATATATATATATATATATATATATATATATATATATATATATATATATATACATAATAAAATACAGTTTTGATAAAAATACATAAATAAATACATACCACATTATATAAAAACATCAAAAATACCATATTCCATAAAATATCTAATAAATCTCAAACAAACATCTAATATATATCATATATAAACTATCTTCAAAATCCAAAATAACATCCTCCATATCATAAAACAAGAAATACTAGTTGTCTTCGTCTTCCCCGTCGTTGTTTTCCTCATTGACTTGGTTTTTAAACGAGCAAATAATGTCTCCAATGGCCGTCACAAATGTCAGGTTTTGAAGAAAAATATTCACATCAACATCCTACAATTAAATCACAAGTACATTAAATCATTAAAAATTCAACAAACTATCAAACCATCAAAGCACCAAATCAATTAAGTCTTTAACAATTTAACAAACCACCAAACTACCAAAAATTACTACAAATATATTAAGTTCTTAACAAGATAACAAAGCTACCAAATTCTTTAAGAATTTTTTTTATAAGAGAAATAGAAACGAGGTACTTTTAAGAACTCACGTCATCATATCAACAAATTACATATTTTTAAGATATGACATTTTTCATTTTTAATGTCTTTTAGTTATTACATACGTCTTTTATTTTATTTTTAATTTGTTTTATTTAAAATAGTAAGCTATTATTATTTCTTTATGAATACTATAACGTTATATGTTATTAAATTTTTTAAAAATATAATTTATTTGATGATTTTAAATAAAGTTTTCATTAAAATAAAAGTTTATATTTGTTTACCGAAGATAACATCTTCAAAATTGTTACCTATCATTAATATTAATATAGAAGTTAATATTAATAAATATTTCATAAGTCTAAAGTTAGCCCGTGATAGCCCTAATAAATACTTACATTTTCACAAACATTTTTCATACATTTCATTTAAAAATGCTTATATTTTCACATAAATTTCATATAAATATCTATATTTTCACATAAAAATTCCTACGATTCATATCCATATATTTTTCAAATACATTTTTTCATATATAATTCTTTCATACATAAACATGCACGCGCCATTATCTGCGTAGTAGTCGTCCGATCTAAAAACAATTAAAGGGTCGCGATTAAAGTGACGCGGATCAACAACAATAGCGGCGACATGTCGTCGCAATTGGCATCGCCGCTATTACTTGACACCAGACGAAACCCTGACCAACGGATCACTGTAACAACCTACGGTGACGATTAAAAGGCGTGTAGCACAAACGGATCACCGGGTGACCCCCTTTAGCGACGACGAAATTAGAGACGAAATAATTGTGTGTCGCCGCTAAAGGCTGGCGTTGTCGCTAAAGTCGTCGTCCCTAAAGGACTTATTTCTTGTTGTGTCTAAAGTTGCCGATTTCGAAAACTTGCTTCTTGGTCTATATTCGTTGCTGGAGTTTGAAGGAGTAGCGGATGAAGCATAAGGTAGATAAAGAAGTGCACGTCGTCGATGTTCGATGTGTTTATATGTGAAGTTTGATGTGTAAGTATGTGTTTATATGATTTTAGTTGGAGAGAGAGAGAGAGATAGAGAGAGAGAGAGAGAGAGAGAGAGAGAGAGAGAGAGAGAGACCATGTTTATTATTAATAAAACATTAAATTATATAAAAAGTATAAAAAATATATCACAATGACATTTTAGTCTTTTTAATTTTTCAAGAGACTAAAACCAAAAACTAATCAGCTCAAATGGACCGTAAGACTCTGCGAGTTGTTCATACAACTCGGCGAGTCACAGTATAACTTGTTCATCGGATGAAGATGAACTCGGCGAGTTGTTCATACAACTCGGCGAGTAGGATGAAGGACTTGAACATCAGTTTGAAAGGAGAACTCGTCGAGTAGACGCCTAACTCGACGAGTAAAAACAGAATTTAGGTCAGTCGTTTGGACTTGGACTCGGCGAGTCGGGTCAACTGGAAGTTGACTCTGACTTTGACTTAGGGCATGATTAGGGTTAAAATGGTCATTTTACCCAAAGGTCAGTTAGCAGTTTTTGACTAAGTGATTGGTGGGAATACAGTCGGAGGATTTCCGGAACAGCAGCAGCAGCAGTCAGACTATTCCCACGAAGATCAGCAGCTACTCCGAGGTGAGTTACCTTCCAGTAGCGGTGGGTCTAAGGCCACAATGCCGGCCCACCAGTAGGAGATGTATGATTAGATGATTGTCTCTGTGATATTCATCTAGGGTTGCTACTACCTGTGTTATCTTTATGTGGTTGTACGATATGTGATATATGTGCTATGTGGTAGTAGTAGGGGGTGAAATAGTCCCCGGTACCCGGTCGAGAGGACCGAAGGGGGGCCAGCACCCAGATATGCTAGGTGGTATCCGGTCGAGAGGACCGAAGGGGAGGCCAGCACCCAGATATGTTAGGCAGTATCCGGTCGAGAGGACCGAAGGCGTAGGTCGGGCACCCAGATATGCCTGACAATTTATGTATGTTATGTGATTGTATGGTTTGTGGTACAATGGGGGAACTCACTAAGCTTTGTGCTTATAGTTTACAATTTTGGTTTCAGGTACCTCTTCATCGAAGGAGAAGGAGCTGGCTCGGTAGCGGCACATCATGCACACACATTGGTTTCCGCATTTACTAAATGTCCTTGGGATTTATACTCTGATGTTTCGATTGGTTGTATGACTTGTCTTTTGAACATGGTTTATGATGTGTTGTAGTTTGGTCAAACAATATTTTATTTATTAACATTTTCTAAAAGTAATGTTTTTTTAAAAAACAAAAATTTTGGCCTGTATTTTTGGGATGTTACAGTACTGGCACCTCGTATTCCCATGGGAGTCCCTTCGCATACCGGTCCACCTTTGTCAGCTCGTCTGGAACGATACGCAAGGCAAACTCCATCTTATCGGTGAAGTTATTGGTGTATTCATCAACTGACATGCTGCCTTTCGTCAATGTCAAAAACTTGTTCTCTGGTTCCAATAGATTTTGAGCCGAGCAGAACTTGCACTTGAACTGCACCAAGAACTCTGCCCATGTCAATTGCAGTGGCTCATTTGGGCTTAAAGTCTTCCCTATAGTGTTCCACCAACGAACGGCTCCACCTCGGAACTGACGCACTGCATAGATAGTCTGCAACTTGCCTCTGCAGCCACAAGTCATGAAGGCCAATTCCATTTCTGAGATCCAATCGATAACTCCAATCGGATCCTCCTTTCCATTGAAGGTCGATGGTTTGCAAGTTAGAAAGTCCTTGTACTTGCATCCCATTCCATCATTCCTTCCATCATGGTTGTCTCGCCTAACTATCGGTGGGTTGGCTTGACCAACAGACCCACTGAAGTTTCCACCTTCCGAGTGCCCTTCATTTAATTCGGGCTCTTCCACACGAATTGACAGTTCTTCACGATTCTGTTGAAGCAACCGTCTACTTTCATCCATCTGACGATCCAACATTGTTTGAATCATCATTTGCACACCAGCCATGGTTATTGGCTCAGGTGCTGCTGCTACGACAGGTCTTTGTTCAATCACTAGTGGTTGATTCCTGTTTTCATCAGCATTTCCAACTCCACTTCTTGTTCTCACCATTTTTGATCTACACACCGAATAAGGTGAAATTAGATCCTCATTCACGATAGATATTCAAATCATCCTTATCACTCCGAAACGTTTACATGCTAGTTCTAATATCGTAGACGTACGCTTAGAATCCTACACACATAAAGTTTCTAGATCCGGTCGGCAACAGACCATAGATCCGAACAAATAATATCATATATGGCAACATATAACATTTAGCACATAAAGCATTTTAGGCAACTTTCCTAAAATAAACTAGTGCTCGTGTCTAAAATATAACAGACACACATCTCAAAATTCACTTAGCATTCTAAGTTTAAGTCTAGAAATCCTACAAATTCCTAGTTCGCTTAAACTAATGCTCTGATACCAACTGTGACATCCCCAAAATCTCGGCCAGAAAAGACCGATTTTCATTTATGCTTTTAAAATAATTTCAGAGTAAATCCTTTTGATTTGAAAGAGTTGCGGAATTTGTTCCCAAAAACAAAACATGATAAAACAATGTTTACCAAAGCATTTCATAAAAGAAATGTATTTTCATTATATAATCAAAACTCGGGGTGTCATGTTCCGATACAGACCAATAAGCATAAACGATAACATTACAAGTCATTCAACAAATATATACATATACAGACTTGTAAACAAAACAACTTGATGGTTCATCCATCTTACGCCCTTGCGCCACTTCCTGTAATACAAATAAAACTGAGTGGGTCAGGCTTGGGAGCCTGGTGAGCATATAGGGTTTTCAACCCACAATAAATAATTAAATTAATTTTATCAACCAACAATAACCCAATTACCCATTCCGTTATTCTCACTTTATGTCCCTAAAATAACTAACACAAGGGACCTAGTCTAAGAATATTTCATCGGGGTGACAACACATGCTTCGGGGGTTCCTCAGCAATATAAGTCAAATAAGGCAACCATGAGGGGGATGGAATACAACGAATGAACACCCAAGTTCATTAACACCTACAGGTTATGAGCCTGCTAGCGTTCCACGGACTGTCTAGAAAAGTCGTGGTCGTCATCTAAATTCCGCTAGATGACTGGATCAAAACAACATCGAGGCCTCTCATCTGTTTATTACACACCAACTATCTACCCATGTTCTACCCAACATATTAGTAGATAAAAACATACATTTTTATACATAGTTTCAAAACCTGTATAGCATGCTCGATCAATACATTTTCCATATAACAGATGAGGCACACACACATAACACGTATTTCATATAGAAATAATCAGATCTATAAGATAGAAGAAAGTGAATATACATTCACACACATAACAACAAAATTATACACATAATACGTATTTCGTATAAAATACTTCATAATTATGCGTTAGAAGAAAGTAACTATACATTCACACATATAAACAACAATATACTTAATACACTCAAATCATACTTGTATTATTATCGTGTTTATGAAAGGTAGTATACACTCACTTGATCAGAAGATGATCGGACAACACTACGACTTGCAAAAGTAGTAATCCTCAGCAGATCTGGAAGATATCTACAAAAATCGAACTTCTCGCGGGCAGAGCTTCGGCTCGGGAACCGCACTTCTTGGGATCTTCGGGATCTCGAGACTTGCTTCGGGACTCGGGAATATTACCGTGGCTTCGGGGGTTAAAATGCAGAGCTTCAGCACGAAATGGAGGAGAAATGAGCAAATAAGTTCGGACCCCTCGCATCCTATTTATAGGAGGCTGAGGCCTCGCAGTACGCGGGGCGTACTGCCTCCAAAACGTCACTGCATGCGTCATTCGAAGTCCTCGAGTGCGAGTGTCGACATTCTTCGCTGTACGCGGGGCGTACACGAGTACGCGGTGCGCACTTCAGATGAGTCCGGTGACTTGCCTTCGGATAATACCGAATTTAATAATTAAATTTAATTATTAATTATTTAATAAACTTCGAAAATTCATATCTTCTTCATACGAACTTCGTTTTTGACGTTCTTTATATCCACGCGAAGGTGAGACTACGCTCTACAACTTTCGTTTAGACTCCGTCGGCTAATTTTGACTTTATTTTTATTATTTATTTTTAATAGGTTGGGACAAAAAAATTCGTTATAAATTCATAACTTCTTCGTTTGAGTCCGTTCTCGCCTAACTTTTTATCGCTTCGATACTAACAACGAGATCTTCGATTCTCGTTTAGATCACTAAGGCTAAATATCGCTCTAACGTAAATTTCACTTTTTACGTCATTCAGCGGTGTCGGTTTTGTCGCGAAACTTCGACAGGTCATAACTTCCTCGTTATAATTCGGATTTCAGCATTCTTTATATCTTCAGAAACCTTGTTTCAACTACTACAACATTATCTAAAGATATCAAGTTTATTATACACTTAAATTTTGACGCTTATTTTTATTCTTAATTAATCAAATCACATAATTAAGCAATTAAGCACAAAACACATAATACTCAAATAATACACTTCTATTATTTCAAAACTGGTTACAAAGGTTAGCATAGACTATTACATTGCTAAAAATGACAAGCCCAGAAACACAGACGTTACACTTTGTGCTTTTGATCGATAGCAATAAGAAACAAATCGTTTTCATTTGTCAAGATCTCATAGTGAGGTTTGGTGTTTGCTCGTCGTCACAGGGGGAAAGACGGGGTGGCAACCGGTCGTTCTTGGGAGGTTGATGCCACCTCTGGTGGGGCTATTGTCATATGAGAAAATAAGCAAGGGAGATAGTGGGGAGGTGGCAATGGTCAAAGGGTGTGTTTGGGTTGTTGTTGATTGGCAAAACTAGGGTGGTTCCTAGTGATGTTCGGTGATCATAACACCAACAAGACCACCACTCGGTGGTGGTTGTTCTTGGCAGTGAAAGGAGAAGGAAAACAGAAAACGTTAAGGGTGAGTGGTGCAATGATTTTACAATACAAGAGAGGGATAGAGAGTGATCATTTGTGGTGGTTCACGGCGGTGAGAGGTCACCGGTGGGTGGTTGAGGGTGGCAATCCTTCGTTGTCCCTGTTTCTTTCTTCGTTTATTTCACCGATGTGTGTGTGTTTATGAGGGAGAAAAAACAAATAAAATATAAATAAATGTATAAATTAAATTAATTTATATATTTCAGTATTTAAAAAATGAAAAATATAAATTATAAGGACACAATCATCTTTTTTTTTTTTTTTTTAAGTGTGTAGGGACAAAAAACAATAAAAAATCCAAAATTAAACCAGTTCAAGACCATTTTTGCAATTTATTCCCAAAAAAAAGTAGATAAAAAAAAACAATATTCTAATAAATAATCTTTTTATAACCTCGAGATATTTGGGATTGCGCTGTCACCTCTAATTTAATTAATATTGTCTTCGCCAAAAAGGAATCAACCATACTCATATGAGATCGCAAGAAACAAAAGATGACACAAAAGATGACGACAAGAAAATATTATTTTTATTTTTGATTTTTATTTTTTTATAATATACTCATCTTCCCTGTCGCCGGACATTTACAAACCGCCATTACTAATTTACTTCCCTGAATCTTCTTGTCAACACACACAGATGGAAAAAAAAAATTCCAAATCCCTCAACCGCCCAAATCATAAATCATAATACCTACAAGGAAACAGATTCTTAGCAGCTAAGAATAGTTAATCATGCTTCTGTATATAAGAACATTGCTTCTTCTTCGACCTGAGTCTTGGACTGAAAATGGATAATCAGAGATCAGTTCGGGATTCATTTGCTGAATATTTTGAGGATTGGGAGGCTCAACACAGGAGCTACCTCGACAAGCTCGTAGCCATAGCCACTCAAAATGAATCCGAAGAAGATTCAGTGAGGCACTTGGTCGACCAGGTTTTGTGCCACTACCAGGAGTACTACGATGAGAAAAGCAAAGCAGCTGAGTCCGATGTTTTTCTCATGTTTTCTCCTCCTTGGTTCAGTTCTTTCGAGCGGACGCTTTTATGGGCAACTGGGTTTAGACCATCGGTGGCGTTTCGGTTAATTAGGGAGTCGGTGGGTGGGGAATTGAGTGAAGAACAGAATGAGAGGATTGCGGCGGTGAGAGAGAAGACACGGCGGTTGGAGAGGGAGATTTCGGAGGCTCTGGCGAGTGTCCAAGAGAGCGTTGCGGCACAGCCGTTCTCCGATTTGGTGAAGAGGGAAGCGAGATTGGTTGATGGGGAGGCGTCTGAAATGGAAGATGCATTCGGGGAATTGAAGGCGGCGATGCTGGCTGTAATGAGAGATGCTGATTGTCTCCGGCAACATACCGCCGGAGAAGTGTTGGAGGTGCTGACTCCGGCTCAGAAGGTGAGGTTTTTGGCCGGAACTTCGCAATTTTGGCTTCAGTCGAGGAGACTTGGTATGGAGAGAGATAAACGGAATGAAATTTCAAGAAAAGCCATCACTTAGCTAATCGATTTTATTTTAATGGGGTCCAATGTATTATTTTGGTCCCTAATGAGTGTTTTAGGACTAATATATGATAATCTATAATAGAGCGTCAACAATTTTGGATCGGTTTATTATTATTTTGTAGTTTTCATATGGTTTTGACTCATATGTAACATGCAAAAATGTGATTCATATGATGATTGCTAGGATTTGATATTATGTTAGTAACTTGTATTGACATACTATACAAACATCTCATTTTTGTCTAAACATTTGCTACTACGGCATGACATATATTTGCTATTTGACTTATTCCAAGTAGGGAAATAGAAGAGCAGGTAAAATGTTCATCCCAATGATCAACTTTCTTAATTATATTTAACAAAATGAAACCCGCACCCTTAAAAATATGTCAAATTTCAAGTTTTAAAGTCCAGAATAACAAGTCCCGGTTTTCCACTCACATTTTTAGGTCAAATTTCGAGATTTAAAGTTCAAAGTGGTCTCCATTATTCAAGACTACGAACTCTCTTAACATCTCACATCCTCGCAACTTTGACTTCGAAACTTTAAATTCATTAGAATATAAAATCTACAACTTTTTCTTATCAGATCTTTTAAAGTGTTTCGAACATAAAGGGGAGTTGACACATAGAGACATTTATAGAACCGTATCCCATACATGTAAGATACCCTAACATTAAAATGTTTATACAACTTTGAATCCCGATCTTCATAAGATTTGTGCTTTAACATTTATCATAGGTTATTTAAGTTAATGGTTACTAGTTCATGGCATTGTGCTTTAGTGTTTCAAGACTTGACAAGATTTTTAAAAACTAAAATTAGTCATCTACATTCTTCAGTTGTCATCAAGCTACACATATACACACGATATGTGGATAGAAAGAAAAAAACAATTGAAAAAATGATTGAAAGCAAACAAAGAAACCAACCAGTCTTCTTTATGTTGTGTCCCCATCATATTCCACAAATAGGTATGCATGTTGCAGCCACCATCCCAGAATTAAGGATCTATCATTTCCTTTTGGCACATATAATGTTGGCTCTAGCAAATTGACCAAAATGACCTTCTCGTTAGAACCAATTGATCATAAAACTAGGAACCAATTGATCATAAAACTACAGGCTCAATAGATTGAAGCATCAAATCGTGGATCATAGAAACAAACTTGATTGTCATGACTGTAAAGCACATCCAACAATCCAAGATCATACTTTTTTTAACAACAACAATTGCAAACCTTTCCCTTGAAATGATGTTAATCTGGTGCTAATTACTTCCAGGTCTGAACATGATCTTTATTTAAACCCAAGACCATACTTTTTTTAGTTAGTCTTGTTGTACAATGTTGCAATCTATTTGCTTACTGTATGACCACAACCACAGAACATAAACATCATTGGTTGAAGTTCATCAAACACATTCCCTAAAGGAAAAAACAATCGATAGAATCTTAAAGAAATTCCACTCGAAAATAGCATATATGAAATAATAGTATAATTACCTATGTAACCTTTGTAATGATTAACATGTATCAAGATCTATAGCTATAGAGATGATCACACATCGAATAAAGAAATCATAAACCCATGAAACAACTTCATCAACAAGAAAAACTCTTCAAATAATTGATTCAAATTAGCATAATTGAAAAAAAAAATTGAACTTTTGTTTTCACCTAAACTAAACAAAACATTGATGGTCTAGTTCTGCAATGGAACAATTGGTACTAAATTAGCATAATCCGATCACCGATATTCCAGTTCAAAAATCATCGAGAGCCTCGCGACGAATCAACAACTCTATGATGGGGAAACTTTAGTTTTTCCATATCAGCGATTTGAATTAGGGGTTTCTGCCCTTCAAATACATATAGAGATGTAAAATTTTTTGGAATTTGATATTGAAAAAATCTATGATAAAGGAAGAAGCAGATAAATGGAGGTGGTTATGAGGGGGTAAAAGATGTGCAATGGGGATTGGTAGAAGCGACATGGGCAAAGTGGAAACACGGCCTCTAATTCTCAATCAACGATTTTTTTGGCGGATCGAATCAGGAACCTAAGTCGGTAAATAATGACCGGACCAGACGAAATCAACATATCTCAAACAAGCAAACTGGACCGAATCATATATTTTTGTCTAACCGGACCCAGTCGGACCATAATCAAGCATGCCCTAATTGTTAATCCCACTCATGCCAATCTTTTATTTCCTTTTCACATTCCCATCATTTTAGTTGGACCCCCTCCTCCCATTCTCATTTTTACTCCCACACCATTTCAAAAGTCTATTTATTTTTCATATTCACATCATTTTAGATGGACTACCCTCTCACTTTCTATATAATAATTAGGTAAATTTGTGAAGGTTAAAAGAAACAAATATGAAATATCCCAAAAATACAATCCAAAATTTTCATTTTAAATCATTAAGAAAACCATAATCATCGAACATCATATAAAAATCATAAGTAGTGTAACACAAAATATCCTAACATCTGTCAAACATATATTAGAGTATAACATTCCAAGCTAAACAAATGGTGTGTGCACTACAATCATCTCGAGCCCTTCCCCTTGCTACCGGAAGTACCTGAAACCAAAACCGAAAACTATAAACACGAAACTCAGTGAGTCTCCCCAAGCTAGCACATACCATATACATAAAGACATAATAACATACATTAGGCCTTGCCCTCTACATCGGGCCCCGCCCGACATCAGACCGATATCCGGCATCGGGCCCCGCTTGGCATTAGACCATTATTCGCTATATATACGTATAAACATATCAATAAGGCATATAGCATAAACACACAATATAAGCATATAAACATTCCCCGGCCTTGCTCCGACATCAGAATGAAGGCTGAAACATATAAACATAACATATAAGCTAAACATTCCTTAGGCTTGTCTCGGTATCGGACCGAAGCCCGACATATATAAACAAACACATGAAAGAATCACAAAGGCATCAAGCATACAAACATTCCTCGGGCTTTCCCCGGCATCGGATCGAAGTCCAAAAACATATAACCTATATCGGGCTAACCCCGACATCGTACCTAAGTCCAACATATGCTAGCATACATAAACGGGTCGACATTGGTGCCTTTGACCCGTTCTTACTAGAGGAAAACTCACCTCACAAAGCTGGCTGTTGAACCCCTCGGTAAGGAATCTCTATCATCTACTCTCGCGACTCCCAAGCTATCATTATCAACAACACTTAATCAAAATCCAATAATTCTTCTTAGGGTAAAATGACCATTCTACCCCTGATCTAAATTGGACCATAACCTAGGCCCAATTCTTTATAATCTTTCCAAGCCCACTAATGGCTCCATTTTTCTAAATTGGGCCCAAGTCCTCAAATAGGCCTTTCCTTAAGCTCAAACATGTCCATGGTCCGTTATCTGACTTCTGATGGCCCATTAAGGCCAAATAACTGCTAAGTCCAAAGATTGGCCCAAACCGAGGCCCAACCGTGACAATGCCCAAATCCTGAGAGTATGTTGGGTGTTTTGCTCTGTACGCTAAGCGTACTGCTGCATGGCTTGTACGTTGTGCGTACTGGCTTGTACGCCTAACATGCTACCCTGTTAAGCCATCAACTTTAAAAATGCTTATTCCATTAAGACCTTAAGCCCATATTACAGATCAGAGTCCCTTAGAATGTCTTTAACTCATAAATTCGACTACTTGGTGGTTTACAACCCACCAAATGAACCCAAACTTGCAATATAGCAACTAACTTCCATGGAAATGGATAGATCTCATGCATGGTCATAAATAGACCTTAAAGATCAAAACTTTACTGCTTATAGGGCTCATATATCCCTAAGGGTGGCATCCCTAGGCCTAGAAACGAATTTGAGTCATAAAGATCCATTCTTGGGACTAAAAAGGTCCAACACATCACTACACTAGAGCTAAGCATACTTGAGGAAAGTTGTGAACTTTATACCTTCAAAGAGTCCCAAATAATGATGCTATCCTAGATCTATGAGCTCAAGATACTCAAGTTCCTCTTCACTAGCTTCTTTTTCCTTCTTTTAAGCTTCTAAGTGTTGGGTTTTAGCCATAAGAACTTTCCTATGTGCGCATGCAAAACCCTATTGCTTGGATCTAGGCTTTCTAATAAACATGCTTTTGAATCCAAGACTTCTAATAGCTAATTAGGTTAAATAACAATGATGAAACAGATCTAGAATCATACCTTTGAATCCCTTGTTGATCTTGGGTTGTCTTGGAGCTTCTAGAGTCACAATTGTCACTCCTCTAATGGCTTACAAACACCAATAGCAAGCAAGATGATTTGGGAGAGAGGAGAGGGGATGGAATTCGACCAGAGGTTCCTTGCTTTAGGTTCTGAAAGGTTGTACTCGAATTCCACATCCCAAGGGCCTATTTATACCTTTAGACTCCTTAAGGGTTTCACCCTAAACCCTAATTGGATAATCTTCTCTTAAGGCTATCCAAATCCATTCCATAGATATCCCTATGGACGATTTTGAGCTATCCTAAAGCTCTTAGAATCCGTCCAAGGTCCATCCTAATGGATTTACAGTCTAAAGTCTAACTATCAAACAATTGACAGTTTATACCCTCTTATTTAATTAATCTCTTTAAGTCACCAAATTAATACCAATTAATTTATGACTTATATTAATCAAATAGCTAAATATTACTCTCTCTTAATAAATCATCCTTCAAGTTGCTATGGTGAAGGCAACCCAAAAGGACCATGCACCACCGAATATAGTTATAGCCTTAGACACTATTCCAACAGTCTCCCACTTGGATAAGTCTAATAACTATAGAAGTACAATACGGTTTGCAATCGTAGCTCTCAAAGACGCTGTCAACTCTGATCTAATCAATCTTGTCCTTTAGATAAGGGATCGTACAGTCCTCTGTTAGATATCATGCTGACAATCCTATGGAATGGTTAGTCTAGCATTTAGATTTCTCGATCTTCGATTTAT